TCTGTGTATTTGGTACAGGGTCTCACTACGCAGATCAGACTTGTGGTGATCCTCCCATTTTAGGCCTCCTCAGCACTGGGATTACAGGCGTGCACCACCATGCCTGTATTCTGTTGCCAGCTCAGGGTGCTCCAGGGGCAGGGCTGGCGCAGCATGTGGGACCAGGGATAGAACCCTGGTCCTTGCGCTTGCCAAAGCAGGGGCTTTGTCCACTGAGCTATCTTGCTGGCTAGCACACATAAGATTTTTAAGAGCTCAATTCCTAATTGGTATTATTATGTAACTAGCTAAAATCCATTTCTACTTTTAATATCTACATCCAGGTGCTAGCATAGTTAGCACCTAAAACATAGACTCTTTTTGATAATTAAAAAGTGTGCTGGCACACACTGCAAAGGGTTAATAGAGTTCTGTGCCTTAATTGTAAAAAATTATAAAAACCCCTTGTGCTTCCTGTTATCTGCTCTAAAAAGTGTGTTCTCCTTTTCGGCTCAAGGCTGTTCAACAATAAATAACTCAAAGCAGCAAGCTAACACAAACTCCCTCCCCAACCATCTTCTGCAACATAGTCAGCTTAAGATGTACCTTATAAAAATACGCATTTATCACTAAGCTGTAAAAGACCTTTTAGTTATAAATAGTTTGAAGCTGTGTCAAATGAATGCAGTTTCTGTTGTTCTGTACTAGATAACAAGTTTGCTTACCAAACTGGATGTGATTTCTGTTATAAATACCCCCTTGCTACCTATGTTTGGGGTCAATCAGCCTTCTCCTATGGGAGAAGTGGCTGACGGACCTGAACTCAGTAAATAAAAGGCTCTATTCAAATCTCTATCTGGCTGATCTGGTTCCTATGCAGAGTTGACCCATAACAACACTTGTTATCCCAACAACTTGGAAGGACCAGGCAGGAGGATTGCAAGTTTGTTTTTTGCCTGGGCAATTTTGGAACTTACCAAGACTACATCAACTTCTTAAAAGGAGGGGGGCAGGTTGAGAATGTAGTATAGTGTAAAAATCTCTTGGTTGGGGATGTCTGGGATGGGGTGCTTTTGGAATCTGTACAGCAGAGGTCATGAATTGAGTCACGTGATATCCCAAGGTGTCAGGTATTACAGAGAGAATGGTAATTTTCTTGATGTAGGAGGAAAGGTATAGGGAAGTCTCTTAAGAGTATTAGATTTAGATATAAAATAACTCCAATTTCCTTGGCTTTTTTGTTTGTTTTGTTTTTTTTTTGAGACAGGGTCTCACTCTCATTATGGAGTCCAGGCTGGCCTTGGACTCTTTCTGCCTCAGCCTCCTGAGTGCTGGGATTACAGGCGTGCACCACCATGCCCAGCTCCTTCCATTTGTTGAGACTACCTTGTACATGGTATTAGAGCCACAACCCACGGTCTCAAAATTCAGCTCATTTACTGTAATTTATGTGGATAATCATATTGATGCCAGGGGTGTGACATTTTGAGAGAATTTGAGGCAGAGAGGTAACAGAGCTTAATCTGCTCCAGAAAGCCAAAGGTCAGTCCAATAGGCCCCAGGAGAAGCAATACTCTGTTCCAGATCTGGGCCTCAGTTTGCATTTTCAGGACCCTGACCAGTAGGACACAAAGAATGACCTAAAGATTTATCATACATGACCAAGCACACAGTATAATGTCTAAAGCTGGCACATCAATCTCCTATTAGCATAGCGCAAGAGCTGGATATTTAAGTTCGCACCAACCAGAACTTCTTCCAGTGAAGATGAGTCCACTGGGAAGGAAGCCTCTAATAACCAAGAGGTTGTTTGGAGCCCAACTCTAAACTGGGCTTAGGGTGGATGAACTCAATGAGGTTTTCAATCCTATAAAATGTAAGTACTACAAGCTTCGCATCTCTCACAGTAGTATATGGAGACTACGAGGTTGTGTTCCTCAGGGCCCACAAAAGAAAAACAGCGCAGGTCTTCTGACCCCAAATTCCCATTTTTTGGCACTGTATACTGGTACAGGACAGTGTAGTCTTGGCACCCTGATTTGAATTTGAAGGGGTGAACTTGGAGGGACCCAAAACCTCACTTCAGGAACTAAGCTGAGACGCCCTGGTCTCCATGGAGACTCAGTATTTAGGACTATGTTTCCCAGACATCTTCGCGCTAAGCCGCTACTGATTGTTAATACTGACAGCCAGTAGGACGGCGCACAACTCCTACCAACCAATGACAGGTGAGAGGAGGCGGGCTCTCTTGCGCGAGGTTAAGAGTAGCGCAAAGGTAACTGCCCGCAGAGCAGCGCCTGACTAAACTGTGGGCGGCTCTCGCCACGTACTCGGCGCGTGCCTCCGCGGACCCGCCCAGGGCCCGCGGCGCGCTTAGGGAGGAGCACGTGCCCCACAGCTGCAGGCAGAGCGTGGGTCTGTCGTCCTGTGCGGAGGCCGCGCCACTGGCCGTCCTGCTCGCCGGCGTCGCCCGTGGCCGTCACCTGTGGAGAGCGCGCCCTCCCTGCTACTGCCCCTGGGCGGGCGGGAGAACTGGCGCCATGTCTCCCGCGCTGCACGACCCGCCGCCACCCGGTAAGCCCGCGACCGGCCGCCGGAATTTGGTTGCTGGGCGTGCGTGTGCGCTCACGCCCACTCACCTCCCGGGCGGGGTTTCTCCGTGCATGGGAGCCCCAGGCTGCTTTATCCGCCCTGGACTCCGCACCTGCGTCGCAAACACTTTCTAGACCTCAAAGCAGTTACAGTTTTCGGCTCGAAGCGACATGCACCAACAGAGCCCTGCCATAAATTTTGCATTATGCAACGTCGTTATTCAGTAAATATTTACTGAACGTTTACTGACAGCGCTGTTTAGCTCGGAGGCTGATACCCAGAGGACTACTGAGAACGGGGATGGAACGGTTATTTTCCGCTTCTACTTGCAGTTCTGTAAACTCCACTCTGGTTAGTTTCTGTGTTAAAATAGATCAGCAGGCCCCACGTCCACGTACTCA